TATCCAAGTCGTAGGCGTAGGATGAGTCGCAGTGCCTTGTAAACATTACTTGCTCTCTCTCTCCAAGCACAAGCCCCATGCCTGGTGTACTCGCCAAATACTTTGCTACCGTCACACCAGCTGCCCGGTCAACAGGACGATGTCTCCTAGTCGCAACAAAGTGAGCCGGGACGCTGAGAGGATAAGTAAGGTCCGGCCGAGTACATGTCATCAGGTACGTGAGGCAACCCACAAGATTTGCGTAGGGACCACAAATTTCAAAGGGCTCATCTAAAAGGAGCGGTGAGTCTGTGGTCAACTGCAAGAGGAGTGGGTTGTTTGGTGGAGAACTGAAGCTTGAACCGCTGAAGGACCTACTCCACCATGTGTGACTGAGTCAGTGTGATAGTGCGAGCCGCGATATCTCTGGTGATCTGCAAGCCAAGGTAGGGGCGCAGTTCACCAAGCTTGGTGCACTGTGTCTTTTCAGTAGTTTGGACTTCACAAAAGCCAGAGCAGCTCTGACTGCGGTAGCAAAGAGTCGACGTAGACGAGGACGCCGAAAGGAGTGGGACCAGAATGCACGAACAGTGAAGGGCGAGTGGACGACGAACTGAACCCAAGGTCAGAAAGAGTGGAGCGAAGAGTGTCGTGCCACTCACAAGGTGCCTTGCGGAGACCATAGACTGGTCAACTCAGGCTCCACTGGTACCAAGATGGGAAAGTGCCAGGTCAGGAGGACGGCGTAGCCAGATCTCCTTGTGTAGGCTGCCCTGAAGAATGGCAGTTGAGAAGTCCAGTGAGTGAACTTCGTGGTTTTGCTGTGCAACGTGTAGTATCACCCGAAGAGTGGTCATCCTCAGGGTCAAGGAGAAGGTATAGAAAAAGTCTTCTTTCTCACGCTGACTGGAACCTCTAGCCACGTACCGTGCCTTGAGGACATGCGGCAAATCGGGCGGCCGCTTCACCTTCAAGATCCATATGTCGTCGATTATGTTCGCCCTGGGAAGGGGAATTGCGTTGACGTAGGTGCCTGTGGATCTCCAAGACGCCATCTCTGAGTCCATGGTCGCTATCGACACTGCCTCACAGTAAGTGGGAGGAGTTGGTATGTCAAGGGCGTCGGGGACCCCCTCAAGGGCTAGCAGCATGGCACAAACATGGGAGAAGCGGCTGTCAGGAACTCTAACTCAAATTGCATGTTCTCTGGGACGTCACAGCCAAGGGCAGACTCACCCCCGGCAGTAGAGGACGGGTAGGGGGAGCAGCCACCATGCATGTGGTGTGATCAAGGCAGCATGTGGCGGCAAATTCAATGGCAACAAGAGATGAGACAGACGATGGAGAGGCAGTGGTGTCCGTGAGAAGAGGCAAAAACACACGAGATAATAGGACGAGCTATACGGTAATAGTCAGTGATAGTTTGAGAGGAGGCTTTAAGAGACAACGCAGAAGGAGGCGGAAGATCAGACCGAGGCTGAGAACGAGAAGGAACTGTACGAAACAAGACAAAACAAAGGTCGTAGACAGGAGACGAGGCACAAGCACCTGAGGGGCAATGAGTGGTCCAAGTGTGTGGGACAACAAGAGAAGGCGGATGTGACCAAGGACGAGAGAAAACAGTTGGGGACGCGTCCGTGAACAGGAGGAGATGGTGAACGTTTAGAAGGAGAGGAAGGGAGACCAAGGGTCCTAAGACCACTCACATGTGCAGACAACTACGGCAACTGTGGCTACTGCTGCGTTTCCAGCTGCTAATGCTGCTGCCACTCCTATGCCAACTGCTCTTGCTCCTCTCACTCCAGCCGCCGAAGACGCTGGTGCGCGTCGGGTAACGGTGGGCAGGCTGAGCAGGCACTGTGGAGTCAGTGCCTCTAGCTCTAGGATCCTCAGAGATAGCAATGTCAATGCCAGAACCTCCAGCACCAACACCCTCTGAACCAGCACTTCCATCGCTAGTGCCTCCAGCACCGGCACCTCCAGTACCACCACCCCCAAAGTCAGTACCACCAGCACCAACACCCTCAGGACCAGCACCTCCCATGCCAGTACCTCCAGCTCTAGCACCCCTGGGACTAGCACCTCCAGTGTGAGGATCTAGGCTCGAGCTCAGAAAAGAGAATTGTAATTGAATTGAATTGAATGATCACCTGGGTACAACACGAGGCTATATATAGGCTCGACACAAGGCCCCGTAACCAGGTGTTACGCGAAGGTTCCGCGGGTCGCGAAGCGTCCCGAACAGATCCTTCCCGAATTCGGTAGAAGGCAATTCGGTGGCAACCGAAAAGCCAGAATTCGGTGCACGCAACCTAGCTCGGTGCTATAACTATAATAAAATATAGGAAAGCACCTAGCCTAGGAAATCAAGCAATTCATGCATGCATGTAATTATCCTATGCTAGAAATAGCATAATAAAGTAAAGGCAAGCAAGCATAGCTGGCATAAGCCGTCGTACTCTCACATCCAGCTTTAGCACCCCCAGCTCCAGCTCCTTCAGAACTCGCACCTCTAGTAGCAGCACCCTCGAAGTCCACTGTGACCTAACTCGGTAGTACCAAAGGCCGTTGTGGTGACTGCAAAGACAATTGTGGTGAGGGACACGACACCTGACGTGCTACCGGGAGAATAGGGGTAGCGTGAGACACATTTGATCGGGCAGAGCCTGGGAGGGGTGGACATACCGGAGGAGTAGGACCAGGAGGAGGAGTGTGAGCTAGGAAGAGGGGAGGGGGGGGAACTGGGAGACCTCGGTGGGGGTAGCGGGCATTGAAAGACATTGACTCATCAAAGGAGATGACATGGGAGTCAGAGAACTAGTGGAGGGGCGGGTGGTAAGACGTGAAGTCACGGGCATCCACCGGAAAACCAAAGAAGACACAAGGGAGGGTGCAAGCTGAATGCTTGTCTGCAGAGGTATCGCGGACACGTGCAAGGCAGCCCCAGACATGAAACTCCGACGCAACGCCAGGGGACCCAGTCCAACGACTGGTCAGTAAATTTTCCGGGTGAGAGACACGCGGCCAGAGGTTCAGCTGGTGTGCAGCATAGCGAACTGTGTAGGGCCATTGGAAAATGGGGCGCACGGGCATGGATTGTGGCGGTATGGGCGATCTCCATAAGCAAGCCTATGCGGCGCTTAGTAGCCCCATTCTGCTGTGGGGACTCTGAAAGCGTCGAGGACTGGGTGATGCCCTGCTCGCTACAGAATCCGTGAAGAATCCCGGAGCGAAACTCACCCTCATGGTCGGAGTGAAGACAACTAACACGAGGGCCAGTCAGGATCCAGTACTGGCAGGGGCCGACGTTGGGACCACCGCGACGAGCCCCCCAGCTGGCTGGGCCGCTGCTAGGGCTGACACCGGTCTCCATGGCTGCTGAGGGCGCCAATGTTGGTGAGGGCGACACTGCTGCTGATGGCGCCACTGTTGCTGAGGTCCCCACTGCCAAAATTCTCGTTGCTGCCATCCCTGCTCCTGCAGAAGCGGACGTCATGGCAACGGCTAGCTGGGCGTAGAAGCGGCAGGCTAGGAGCAGCTGGAGCTAGATATGGCCAGAGCAAGGAGCGGTTGGAGCTAAGAGCGCTTGGAGCTAGGAGAGGTTGCAACTAGAGACGCCAGAGCTGGGAACAGCTGGAGCCAAGTGCATCTCGAGCCAGGAGCGGCTGGAGCGAGGAGTGGCTGGAGCTAAAATAGCCAGTCTAGGAACGGCCGGAGCGAGGAGTTAGCGGAGCCAAGAAGCTGAACTATAAACACCGAAGGAAGGAGAAACCAAAAGGTGCTAGTAAAGCCAGTCTAGAACCGAAAGAGCTACATGGAGCTACTAGGAACAGCGAACTAGGAGCGTAGCAGAAGCCCTAATCAAGGATAATGAACCATGAAGTGGCTTGCAGCCGCTACTGGGAAGGCCACCATTGAGGGGAAGACTGTATAGGGCAGCTGTAGGGAGTGGTGGGTGGCTGTGGGCGGCATTGGGCGGATATGAGTAGGTGTGGGCGGCTGGTTGCTATTGTGGGCAGTTGTGGGTAGGTGTGGGTGGCTGGGACCTACTGTGGGCGGCAGTTCAAGAGCTGGGAGAGACCGTGGGCGGCTGTGGGTAGGTGTGGGCGGCTGGGAGCTACTGTGGGCGGCAAAGGTAGGCTGTATGCAGATATGGCGGCAATAATGGCAGTTACAGGTAGTAGGGGCGATTGTGAGCTGCTATAATGGCAGTTACAAGTAGCAGGGGCGACTGGGAGTGGCTAAGGGCGGCTGTGGACACGGCTGTTGCTAGCTCTGCTGATGTTGGCGGCTAGCTTTGCTGCTAGCGGCAGGCAGCAGTGGGTGCCTACGGGTGTAGCGCGCGCAGCAATGGCGGTGCGCGCTGCGGCGCACACTGTTGCAGGGCGTGCTGCTGTGGCGCACGCTGCTGCTATGGTGCGCGCTGCTACAGTGCGCACCGCTGTGGCGCGAGCTAGTGCTGCTGTGACAGTGCGCGACGCGGCGCGTGCTGCTACAGTGCGCACGGCTGTGAACGCTGGCGCGTGCTGCAGGGGCGCGCGCGCTACTAAACGCGCTAGCGCGCTTGCTGCTGTGCACGTCAGTGGGCTAGCGGCTGGCTGACGGCTGGCTGAAGACTGGCGGTTACTAATTAAGAGATTAACTTGCGAGATAGGTGGGCTAGGACCTAGGAAACCTACTATGATACCATCTTAGAGTAGGAAGTGCAAGGTGTGAGTCGACTAGCAGGGAAAGGGGTACAAGTAGAAGTGTCAAGAAAAAATGTGCTACCTCTACCGGTACTCTTCAACTCACTGTAACCTAGCAACCTAACAAGCATATTGATATAACTTGACAGGCAAGGTAGCATGAAAGACCTGCCATGTAGAGTTATTCACTTTGAACAAGCCGGAGGACCCGCGCGTGCTTGCAGAAGTCACTGATGAGGAAATTCGTGGTGAGGAAGAGGGGATGGAGAGTGGGGGAAGTGGGTAAATAGGGGACAGGGAAAGGGGTGTGACCGAGGCACGGGCTGATAGACCATGAAGCATCTTATTAGCTTCACGAGCTTTCTACATGTGTGTGCCAGCCGACACAAGGAAGGTCAAATGCAAAGTCACCCTGAGCAGCATGGAATGCTTCGTGGTGAGAGAACCAACGATGTTTTTTTAAGTTTGCCAAAAGCATGAATCCATACATGTTTGACGTACATATTAGAAATGGAGGAGAAGGGGGGGGAGGAGGAGGAGGAGGAGGAGGAGGAGGAGGAGGAGGAGGAGGAGGAGGAGGAGGAGGAGGAGGAGGAGGAGGAGGAGGAGGAGGAGGAGGAGGAGCAGGAGGAGCAGGATGAGGGGGAGCAGGAGGAGCAGGAGGAGCGTGGGGGGGGGATGAGGAGGAGGAGGAAGATGATTCCAAAAGAAAGTTGAGACGGACGAGAAGGAAGCAGAGGAGGGAGCGGAAAGAAGGAGTGGAAGCAAACTTACGTCCAAGTTCCGTCGCCCACAAGCAGCGTGTCCCCATCGCTGTCCTCGTACACCAAGCGCCACCCTGCCAGCACGTCACCACCATCGTCTGACTCACTAGCAGCACCAGCACCACCTGTACCACCGGTAGTACCCATCGTGCCGGCACCAGCAGCAGCAGCAGCAGCAGCCCCACCATCCTCTCCAATGCTGCCCTTCGCCTTGGTACTGTGTGCACGCGCCCTTGCTTCCCTGCCTGCCTTGAGTGCTGGCCCAAACATGGCAGCGATGTGAGCGTGGAGGGCGGGGAAGTCGGAGAAGAGTCCGAGGTACACCGTGCGGGCTATGAGGCACCCTTCTCTGAACACCTGTGGGGGCGTCAGCGAGCGAAGAGGCGTGTTTAGAGGAGATGGTATAGGAGAATGGCATGAGCAGCCTTGCTGGGATGTGTGTGAGGGAATGTGAGAGTGGCTGGTGACAGAGGAAGCTGGCAATTTTCAATGCTGGGTGAACAACGTACACTCACTCACAATCAACGCCCATACCTTCACTCTCATCCTCTTCAAGCTTTGCTGCTCATCCTCTTCTTCCTGGTGCTGCTGTTGGTGGTGCTGCTGCTGCTCCTGCTCCTCCTGGTGCTCGTGCTTCACAGAGGACGAGTCTGACCGCCCGCTGCCACCTGGCGTGCTCACAGAGCACGGCTTGCCGCCAGCTGGCGAGCGCTCATTGCTTGGCTTCCTGACACCTGGAAAGCCGCCATTCGACAGTTTCCTGGCGGGAGAATCCTTGCCGGGAAAATTTCCCCTTCCAGAGGCATCTCTGTGTATGGTACCAGCGCCTGCAGGCCGCTCTCTCGCACTGCCACTGCCGTCAGCCGAGGCTGTCAAAATTAGGGTGGGCGCGACAGTAATAGCCCCAGGAGAAGTTCGAGCAGGAGCAATAGCAGTAGCGGCAGCAGCAGCGGCGAGTGCAGGAACCTGAACAAGATGAACGTGCTTGTGTGCTTCGTGAGTAAGCGTGTCCTGTGGTTCCCCCTCCACATGCCCAAGACCAAGGGAGAGAAACAGCGACACAGAGCTTTGGCCTGTGTTGAGCACACTGCCCCTCGCGATCGTTTCATCCACTCTTGGCTTCTTGCACTCCCCCACCACCAGCTCCTCATCTCGCCCAAGCCCGCCCTCACCATACACCACATCCAACGCCCTCCTCTCCCCCGTCCTCTTCTCATTCGCCCAATCGGCTCTCTCCTCTTTCCGCTCTCCGCTCTCCATTCCCCCCTCTCCCGTCTCTACTTTCGCCCCATCCCTCCTCTCCCCCTCGACTAGCCAATCGGCCGTTTGTCCTCCTCCCTGCTGCCCAATGGCCAGCCAGTCAACCTGTGTGGAGGCTCCACGTGGCATCCGCTCATTGAGCGGCCTTTCTGCTGAACCAGCGGTCCTAGCCACAGCTTCGGCAGCAACAGCTGCTTCAGTGCATTCCGGGGGAGGAAAGGCGGGAGGGCTATTGCCTGGGGATTGTCGTTGCATGGTGGGAGAGAGGAGAAAAGGATGTGAGGGGAATGAAGGGGGAAACGAGGAGGGCCAGGAGGAAGAGGACGGATCTAAAATGTTTCGGGAAGTAGGCGTGTGCATGTCTTTACTGAATGGTGCATGGGTGGATTGGCTTCTTTGCAAATGGGTCTGAGGCTGAATGGGCTCTTGGTTGTGTGCCCGGTGGGCTGTGTGGCAGTGCGAGCGCGTGTGAGACTGAGAGTGTGTGAAGTTGTAGTTGCCGCATCCACGCCCCTCACGTTCTTCCTCTGAAGACTGCAGCCGGTTGCCGCGGAATGAAGGTGGGGAGCGAAACGGCGGGGAGGAGGGGGCAGGGAAGGAGGAAGGAGAGTGGAAGTGTGGAGCGCGGTGGTGGTGGGAAGTGAAGGGGTCGAGGTTGGTGGTGGAGGCGGAGGTTTGCAGGGAGGAGGGGAGGGGGAGGGAGGAGGAAGGGGGGACTTCTCGGGGCGGAGAGATGTCCCACGGGGAGATGGATGCGGGCTTGCACAGCGAGGGGTCTGAGTCCGACCACGACACCTGGCGCATGGGCGGGAGGGAGGAGTTATGGGAGGGTGCAAGGCGGTGTGTCTTGAGGAGAGTCACAACGCACCAGCATTGCAGAGCGAGGGGTCTGAGTCCGACCAGGAGACGTGGCGGATGGGAAGGAGAGGTTGGGAGGGTACAAGGAGGAATCGGTGAGGGAGAGGGAACAAAGGGGGAGGAGGCGAGGGTAACAATAGAGAGGAGACAAAGGAGGGGGGCGGGAAAGGGTAGGAAAGAGGAGGAGGTTGAGGGTGAAGGAACAAGGAAACAGGGGACTAGAGGGTCATTTGATCCTCGCTGCTGGAAAGTTCAGGCGGGGCACCGAAGGAATGCAGGAGAACGAGGTGGAAGGAGAGATGCAGCAGATTGGAGAGGAGCTGGAAGAGCAGCAGGATGCAGATAGGAAGTGTGTGGGGTCACGCTTGCAGACAAACACCATAGACCAGCGTTGACTCACCTTGACTGAGCGCCACTGTGATTGCGGCCACACGGAGGAGGTGCTCCCCACTCCTGCCACTATGCCCCGCAGCCTTCAGCCCCGGTGGCATTGGTGGGTGGAACGAAGGGACGGGGAAAGCAGGGGAAGGGAACGAAGTGGTCATGAGACTTCTGTATTGAGAAGCAAAGGAGCAAGGTCTAAGCAACCAATGCTGAGACCTTACACCACCACCTCACCAATAGTAGAAATCTGGCAGCATTTACTGCATAGAAACCCTCAACAGCTTGGTTCAAGATAGGGAACAGTAACAATTGGTATCTCTCGGTGGATGAACAGTCACCTCCGCATGGTGAAGTCTTCGGCCTCAAAGGGCGCTCGGAGCTCAGTACCGGAGCGCAGGTGCTGCTTGCGCAGGAGAGAGAGGCAGAAGGTGGAGAGCGGGATGAGGAAGGGCGAGGAGCCCGGCAGCCTGCAGGCGGGGTTGGAAAGGAAAGTGACAGGGCGAGAGAAGTGAGCAGACAGTGTGTGTGGTGCAGGCGAATATGGGCCCAATCATCACACAGGTACTAGGCGTGGATACCTACCAACCAAGAGGCTGGACAAAAAGAAGAACTCTTTGTGAAAGTGGGTAACAGTCGTGTCGGGTCAGTAATTGCTTTGGTGAGCTGCGTAAAGAGCTGAATCTCCAAGTCTCTACATGGGGGAAGACCTTTGAGGAGCAGCATGGAACATGCAGCACGTGTAGCAGGGGCCGCGCTGGGCGGGGCACGCACCGAGGGTGGTAGACAACAGTGAAGGGGCATCGGCGCTCATAGCCCATTGTGGCCATGCGCACCGTTCCCTCCACATCCATGCCCCCCGGGCCCATGCTGCTGCCTCCCGTGCCGCTCGCGAACATTCCGTAGGCCAATGGCGTGGCGACAGGTGGCACAGTCTTCCTTCTGATGCTGACCTTGAGGTAGCCGTCTTGACCCCTGGGAGGGAAGAAATTGGGAGTGGGGCGCGGGGGAAATAGCATTAGGAAATCGGGAACAGGCGGAGAGGGCCTGGGGGAGAAGGAGTATGTTAAGCTAGAGGGCGTTGGGAAGCACAAGAAAGGTGGGAGATGGAGGAGGGGGGGAGGTTGAGAAGACGTAGAGGAGGCCGACATGGAGCAGCCGCTGCTGTCCTTATGCCCCCCCATGGTGAAACAGAGAAACAAACCCGCTCTGCGAGGCACCAGATGCTACCCCAGAAGAAACAAAACACCGGCCCAAGCCACCACCCTCCGTGCTACCTTTTCACTCTGAGCACACGGCACCACATGGAGATATAAACACAATCAAGCCGCTGAGACTCTTTAGCTGAGCCAAGAAGCCAGAGTCATTCCCCAACCACCCTACTAGGGCTGTTGCCTCACCGCACGAAGAGAACCCTGTCGCCCGCCAAAAGCCCTCGGGTGGACACAAACGCGCTCCACCCGGTTGTGAGGAGGTGCCGCTTGGGCGAGCCCCTGTACACGTGGCGGAAGACCCAGCTATTGCCGTAGATATCAACGGCTCTCAGCCTCTGCGAGGGGATGTCCTGCGTCATGTCCTGTTGACAGGGGAGGATGGAATGAAGGTAGCAAGGTAGGTGGGGAGGAAATTAGGGGATTAAAAAGCAGTTACAGAGCTCGAGCGGAACAACGAGAGGGGTTGGGAAAGAGGGTGGAGAATGGGATGCACAGGCGCGTTGGAAAACAGGAAGGGGTGGCAAAGATACTAAGAACTCAAAAAACGGAGGACGAACAGGCGACGACACGGACGGGGACAAAGAAAGCAAGCAAGGAAGGAAAAACGGAGACGATGAAGTGGTGAATTATTGGGAGAGCAGTGAGGGAAACGTGGGAGGTCATGGGAGAGTGCATGGGAGGAAGGGGCGTTTGAATGGAGGGAGGTGGAGGAGCAGGAGGAGGAGGAGGAGGAGGAGGAGGAGGAGGAGGAGGAGGAGGAGGAGGAGGAGGAGGAGGAGGAGGAAGAGGAGGAGGAGGAGGAGGAGGAGGAGGAGGAGGAGGAGGAGGAGGAGGAGGAGGAGGAGGAGGAGGAGGAGGAGGAGGAGGAGAGGGAGGAGGAGGAGGAGGAGGAGGAGGAGGAGGAGGAGGAGGAGGAGGAGGAGGAGGAGGAGGAGGAGGAGGAGGAGGAGGAGGAGGAGGAGAGGGAGGAGGAGGAGGAGGAGGAGGAGGAGGAGGAGGAGGAGGAGGAGGATGAGGAGGAGGAGGAGGAGGAGGAGGAGGAGGAGGTGGAGGAGGAGGAGGAGGAGGAGGATAGAAGAAGCAGCACACCAGCTGAGGGAGGCAGGTGTCGGCGGCCTTGCGAGGCACGGAGAGGCCGCCATGGGTGGACGTGTGGAGTACAAGTGAGATAGGTCTGCAGACCTTTTCATTTGAGACATTAGTGTGACAGCGTTTAGACAATAGTGTGACAATTGCTGGTCTCCCGGATCCGGGATCCTGGTCTTTCGAGATTTACAGGTGTTATTCGAAGTAACCGCCGGAGCCGGAGTGCCATTACTCGCGAAACATTGGTCGCCGCCTGAAGGAACGATGTCAGACTCCGAGAACCGTGGCGGAGGGAATAGCCAAGAGAGTCGGCCATCCGGGTTCGAAACTATGTTCGCGGACCGCGGATCTGTCTGTTTCTGCACCCTGATACTGCGAGTCGCAGTAGTGTCCGACATTGTCAAATTCAGTTTTTCAGCTTCGGAAACGCAGGCTTGCATGAACGACGCCGAATCCTCGTGTTTTGGTAGGTGTTGCACTGAGGCCGCACGAAAAGCTATCTCGTAGCCGCTTTTCTGGTCACGTAGTGTGAGAGCGTCGGCGTGAGGAGCTTGAAATCTTTCTTGCCGACCCAACGAGTCATTGCTACGGTACTGGCGCTCTTTGTGTGGCCACATCATGGACGCATGCGCATGGCGAGCTTCTTTTCGACTTTTTACAATGAGCATGGAACAAGGGGCACAATCCTCGGACAAACATCGTGGTCTCGGTCGGTCGGTGAGACCGTGGAGGAAACCCTAGGACAGGAGGACCTGCTTGCGGGACAAGTTTGTCAACCTGTTGATTTCCTGGTTGCTGAAGGAACCAAGGCAAGCCTGCACCATGGCTCAGGATGACAGGGTGTTTTGCCCCGACTTTCAGAGTGTTGTTTAACGGACCAAGGCAACCTGTCAGCAAGGCTCAGCTCACCTTAGATGTGCTGGAAATTATGAGACACTCTGAAACCTCAACTTAGAACATCGAGTCGCACACTGCTGAGGAATTTTGCCCCCGCTTTGATGGACTAGGATCCGCTTTGGCTTTTAGGCCTGTGGGTAACCATTTGGCTGGAGTTGACAGCCAGCCACAGAAAACAAGCTAAAATTGGCCGAAGTACGAATTTGAATAACGTGTATAGGAGAGCGAGCACCACCAGAAAAGTCGGGAATGAAGCAACCCGGTGTCACACTAGCGTAATCGCAGTGTGGTGTGTTCGTCAACTTCGCGACCCCTCCCAGCACACGGAGGTTTCACGCTGGCAAATTCGCCGAGTTCGCGAGAAACACAGAAACGGTGTGTTCGTTAAATTTCCACTGTCAGTTCGGAGATGGTAGATAGAACATTCCGTATTTTATTGGTATACCGAGCCTAAAAAGGTGCGATGGCAGGGTGAAATTTGACTGAAACTCCAATCCCGCACAGTCCCTCAGAGCAACATGTCGGGAGCCCCGGCCAGCCCGCGAAAAGCAGGACAGCGGCCACAGACGTCAAACGAGGTCAGCATCTACAGTTGTCAATGCTCTTGCACACACAGCAAGGTGTATGCCCGACCGGATTCAATGTGTTTGGCATGTAAGGGCGGGTCCAACTCGTTTCGTTTCGGGGAATAACACCCCTGTAACAAAATGTTGACTGTCCGGATAACAAACACCCAATTCGAACCTACACACGTGCAGCGTCATGTTGACCCCAGGCGGGCACAGCACCTGCTCAAACGAACTGGTGTACCATCAACACAGACACAACATCCCTCCCGTATGAACAGAAGTTGATGGGTAAAAATCATGCGTGCAATCGGCAGACTTCGTCAGGGGTTTTTGTGGGAAGACACTCTAGGAACTGGAACTGCTGCGAGACAGGTTACCGTCTGACGAAACTAATACAGTTCGCAATCACGAATACACTCTGTTACTGGGATGTGTGTGTGAGAAAGTTTGATTTGCTCTTGCTTACCAGTTCCCTAATATTTTCGGAAAATTTTCGAGTTTGAAATGTGTTGTGGCACGAAACTCGTTTTGCATGGCGGAAAACCGAGCGCGTCATCCCGGCTAGTCTCATGATTTGACGCGGTTACCCTACAGAAAAAGGTTACAGAGGCTAATATTGACCTGAGCTGTGATGAGTTGGACCCGCCCTACGCTCTTCAGCGAAATAACGTAGGAAAATCCCTCATGGAGTCAAGCACTGTAGTCATCATTAGTGATCGGCGCTGTAGACTTTTCGGTCGGTGGCTGCTAGGGCAGATCTCAGATAATGGTGTTGTACATATCTAGTGTAGCTGTACAGCATTCACAGTTCCAAGTGTACTCGTTACCACCAATTTCCCCTAAGGATGTAGGCCTAATCGAGTTTGATCGCGATTGATCTGATCGGGTCGGATCTGATCGGGTTGCTTGTGATCGCAGTGCCCGAGCCGCCCGATCAAATATGTTTTTCGAAGAAGATTTCCAGCGCTTGCGCAAGCGCTGTACATTTACGTCGCAATTTTGTCCCCATTCTAGCGAGATTGGCGACCATACGTCACCTGGCGAAAATTTTTGTTTCCCTGTAATTCAACAGTGTAACTACTCGCAAGCGTCGCTGTGGGCCCCGATCACATGCAATCAGCTGATCGCCTGTGATCGATGAAAATCGACTTTGATCGGGGTGAAAAGCGGGTCTGATTGAGTTGGGGCGTTCAGCTGATCGCGATCAGCTGATTGCCCCTGATTGCATAAAATTGGCTTCCAGGCTTCCTAGAAATTGTTGATTGCATGTAATCGAGACGATAAAACTCGATTGGGATCACGCCTTGAGACCCAAACGTGCCCTGGAACAACTTCTTGAAAATCTTTGGACTCAGATGCCGCCCCCATAAACAAGAGGGCGGAAAAGACAAAGGTGTAGCTCAGCAGTGCCGGCAGACAAATGTGAATTAGAGCGTGTCCGAAGTGAAGCGTCGAATGGATGTCGATGGATGTCGATAAATGTCAACCCTCGGATCGAAAGTTCCAACCGTCAGAATTTGCCGACATCGGATGTCGACGGATGTCGACTTCACTTCGGACCCGCCCTTACTGTACGAGAAGGCATTTCTGGTTGCATGAGGGCGGGTCATTTTCGTTTGGTGTGATCAGTGAAAGGGATATCGCTCAAAAGCAGCGGGAGGATCTGCAAACACTTGTTTCTACCGGGGGCTCTGTTCCACTTCTAGTTCTTGAGAAACACAAAACTGTATATTCAGTTGGTCGAGGAATCCTCTTTCGTTGAGAGATACCAGGTCGAACTGGCAGCAGCAGCCGGGTTCACATCACAACACAACATTGCCGCCTTTCAGATTTGAAAGTGTCGGGTTGTCTGAGAGAGCCGGTCTGGTCCCTAAACTGAGCTGTAGCATTGCTGTACAGCAAAAACCACAACACCGAGTTGTTCCGCAAAAATCCGGGCAGTTCGAACGAGAACACGGGGGTCCTTGTTCGAACGTGCAAGGTATACACCGAGTCCTCGCCAATTTCACGTCCCATGAAACTTTGCACAAATCACCCTTGACCGTTTTTGGCTTTAGGGATCAAACATTCAGGAACTAAAGGCTACTCGTGACACTGTTTAGTTTCGAAAAGCGAAACTCTCACGCAGTGGCTGCAGCGCATTGACTGGATTTTCCGCTGCGACCCTGTTTTTGTTTTCCTGCTGACTCGTGTGGGTAGTCTCGAACATTTACCTACTTTAAACCTAAGCTTTTCGAATGACCCCCGATTTCGGGTTAACCAGAAAGGATTGCTCAGGGGTGTAAAATTGGTGGGATTGAAATTGGCGAGGACTCGGTGTATGTGTTCTTCGTGTGCTGCTCTGTCTTCTCAAGCACAGGCGTGAATCACTACGGTACAAATGCTGCCACATTCACGCCCTCCGATATTTTGCAGCTCAGCTTGTACTTCGCAAGTTTAGCAGTCTGTCCAGTACAGTTTGTGGACGTTGACTTGTAACGACTGGCACTTGGAGTGGTCTCCACCATAACGCTGGGTTTGTTTTTGAGAAAATTCAGAACCGAAGTACAATCACAAGGGTCCGATACACTCTCTTTTATAAAGAGAAACTGCAATATCTAATTTGACAACAGAATGCTGATACAAATGAAGGCTTACGCAAACATCGAGTAAGGCCCTTGCTCCGAAGGGACCTCAGAACTTGAGGTTTGGTGTCAGAATAACCGAAATTTTATAATATCAATCCCTAATATATCAATGTAATGCACTACCTCGTATAGATAATGTGCACTACCGTGTATCGTATTACACACATATGGAGCATGCGATATGTGGAAAGTCAATAATCAGAAGTCAGCTGCTTTGACTGTTGACTGGCCTGTCAGAATCCCAACCACTAGACCATTGGGATAAAAAGGCTTGTTTGTGTAGCGGGTCCATGCGCCCATAACCCACTAGGCGAACACGCTTCTAACCCCCACTATGATCAATCAGGCATCCACGATGCAGGTCTACTGACACCCCCCCCCCCCCCCCCCCCCCCCCCCACCTCCCCACCCCAACACTGGGAGGTGTCAAACTGTATGTTTGTGTTCTCTCTAGGCTATAATGGGTTAGCCTATAAGGGGTACAACACTTTAGGGTTAGTTTTTGTACCCAACTCATTTAAAGCTCATCATTCCTGCACAGTTATTCTGATAGGAGGCCCATGACTGAGGCAGCAGCAAAGTCAATAAGCTCAGAGACTAAGGTGGAGGCAGCAGATGACTCAAAAGACGGGTCAGTGACAACAGTGGCTAGTAGACGCGTGACAATGGGGTGAGCAGCACGAACCAGGTCAGACTCAGGGTCCTGAACGTCAGGCACATAAGTCGCAGGAGGAGACGTTAGAGGAACACGCTGTGGAACAGAGGAAGGACGAAGTGCCATAGCGTGCGTGCCAGGGATAGGAGGCGGACGCTCACGACTACCAGTGTGATGCGCGCGAACAGGCGAGTCAGGACGAGACGCAGGCTCACGATGCTCTGTAAGTGAGTCGGTCTGCTCAGTATAAGGAGAAGGTGCAGGCAGCGGTGCGCCGGGCTGTAACGGGAGGCCAGTAGAAGACAGGAGGCTAAGAACCTGGCGAAGCACGGAGTCAG